TGGTTGGCCGCCTCAAAGGAATAGCTCCATTTTGAATAGGGATTTATGAGCGGTTTCACCAGCCTGATATACAAATTCTCTTCTTCCTTCTGCAAAGTGTTCATGGTATTGCCAAAACTGGTAAACCCTGCATAAGCATCTATGAAAGATCCCCCGATATTCCTGTAAATGTACTGAGCAGCATAGCCGGCATGTTTGCGTCTTGCCTGGTTGTATAAAAGACCTGCAGTAATGCTGCTGCCGCTGCCACCCAGGTTTTCTTCTTTCACAGACATTTCCACGCTTTTAGGATTGTTTACTTCAAAAGAACCACCAATGGAAAGTACGTCTTTGGTCCTTATAAGAATGTCCACAGAATCTGAATTGGCATTGCTGGGAAAAACAAAAATCTTTGCATCCTGTATATAGGGCTGATCGCGCAGGTGTCTTTCATTATCTGCCATCAGGTAGGCCTGGAGCCGGTCTCCTTTTTTAAAAAAAAGATTGTTCCTGATCACAAACTCGCGCGATTTGTGGTGTGCCGCGTTGGCCAGTTTGGTAAAAGTATTTTTGAAATTATTTGCAGTGTCGCTAATCAGGGTACCGAAATCAAGCCTTTGCACTTCAATATTCCTGATAATTTTTCCTTCAAAAGATATAAAAGACAAATCATTTCGCTGCGCTGCAGCTTCCAGGTCAGAGGCGGCTGTATCGCCCACCAGGTTACTGGCCAGTTTACCCACAAAACCTTTCTGTTTTTTAAGGAAGCCAACAATGCTGCGTTTGCGCTTACTGGTATCCTGCTGTGCAAAAACAGGTGATTCCAGGCAAGCTATCAACGCTACTAATAAGAATATTTTAAGTACCAGTGCCGTCCGCATGCTCAGGTTCGTCAAATTTTTTCAAAATACACTTTTTAACTGATTCAGGCAGTACAAATGCAATGCCCGCCAGGGAGAGGATAATGGGTATGAGACTGGTTGTGTATAAGGAATAAACACCAGGAGCAGGCATTAAGATACTAAACTTACCCTGGGTTTACAAACCTGCAGGCGCTGGCTAGAAGCTGCGGGCGTATCTATGCGCTAAAAATAACAGTGGCTTAACTTTTTTACGATGCCAGGCCGTCTTTTTTTTGAGATCTTATCATTTGCCCATAGTCCATTTTTTTAGCGAGACAGGACACTGCCAGGGCAATACGCTTTATTTTGGTAGCATTGGTTTTGGCACTGTCTATCCACTTGCTGAAATACAGGCGGTGAGAGGCGGCCAGTGAATTAAAATGGGCGACTGCAGCAGGCTCATCTGCCAGGCATTCCAGCAAATCATTATTAATTACCGGTGGCTGCTTGTCTTCTGTTAACTGTACGTTTATCGATGCTCCCTTTTGTTTGCCAATGGCTTTGCGCATCGTGGCGTTCACCGCCATAATAAAATCGCCCCCGCCCATGGGCATCAGCGCTACTTCTTTAACAGCATGGTTGTCCAGTTTACCTTCCACCCGGAACGATTTCCTGTTACCGGGTTTTAGCTCCAATGCAATTTTTTCAGGGATAAGAATATAGGTCCAGCCGGTTTTCTCTCCCTGGTCATCAAATTTCAATATGGTAGCGGTAAACTTCACCATGGCCAACGTTACTAATATCAATATTATTCTAAAGATATAAATATTGAACAAAAATAACCTGCGCAATGATTGCATTGAATTTTCAGCCTGCCCGGTTGATTATACCAGAAGGACAGCGCCTCCTGCATTATTATAAAACCACCAGTTTAAAAATTGTCAATTTGTTGAGATTCCCGGTAACATAGATCATGTACAGACCCGTTCTTAGTTTACCTGTTTGCAACACTTTATTATTGATGCCCGGCTGAACATTGAATTTCTCCGTTTGCACAACATTGCCTGTACTGCTCATTATCTGAACAGCCGCCATGCCGCCTTTATCACTTTGCAACTGCAGTGTAATATTTTGACCGCCCGCTACGGGATTGGGATATACCCCATTCACGAAAAATGTGTTTTGCAGAAGGCCCAACCCCAGCCTGCCGCCGTCCTTGTCATCCTCATCTTCATCATAGTCATCATCGTCGTTGTCTTCCCCGTGAGGTTTCGTGTGCGGGAACTTATGCCTGATAACAAAGGGCGGGTACAACTGGCTTTGTGGAATCACCTTTTTGGGTGTTGAAGCGCTGGACCAGCGTAAGCTGGCAACTGCGTTCCCCTTCTTATCATAGTACTCCATCCGTATATCATATTTCACCCCCTTCACAAGCGCTATGCTGCCATGATTCTCCATGGCTGCATGTTTTTTCCAGTTATCGATAATTTTACGCCCATTTATCCAAAGCCGCACGCCTTCATCTGTGTATGTGTAAAAAGTATATGTTTCAGTATACATGGGCTGCACGTAGCCAGTCCACCGTACTGAAAATTTATCCGCATTGAGCAGTATTGATGGGGAATTGTTTCCCCAGTTGAAATCCACTACGGGGTCAATCCTGGAAAAAATGATATGGGCATTGGGGTGCGATTTATTGAAATAATCTCCCCTGAGGCCGGTACCATTGCCGGTTGCGCTGCCTGCTGAAGATGTGGTGAATCCCGTGACCGCCGTACTGCAGCCTGCTGCAGCTCCTGTGGCATTCCTCGGTATTATATACCAATGATAGGATGTTGAAGGCACCAGGCCAGCCAGGTTATACAAATTTGTATTCACCGTAGCAGTTGCAGCAACAGGCGCAGTATTGCCTTTCCATGCATATACATCATAGCTGCTGGCGCCGGGCACCGCCGTCCAGGATAAACCAACAGATCCTGAACCCGGAATAACCGCCCCGTTTAGCGGAAGAAGGTTAATGGCGCAGCCAGGTACCACAGCAGTATTGCCTGTCGTGAAAATGTATTTATTGCTGCTGCAGCCTGTTGCAGGTCCAGCCGCGTTCCTGGGTACAATATACCAGTTGTACACAGTGCCGGGAATAAGCCCGGTGGCATTGTATACAGTCCCGGTAACCGATGCCCTTGCAGTTGAAGGCGGTGTACTACCCTGCCATAGATATACTTCGTAAGATGCAGCGCTGACGCTGGGCGCCCATGTTAACACAGCGCTGGAAGCAGTTGTAAGTAAAGCGCCATTGGCGGGTAAAATACCAGCAACGCAGGCAGGTACAGGAAGGGCAGCCACTGCGGTTAGAAAGCTGGTCTGGCTGGCGCTGCAGCCGGTAGCAGCTGTGCCATTACTATTCCGGGGAACTACAAACCATGTGTATTTGGTAGCAGCAGTAAGGCCTGCAGCGTTGTAAGCAGTGGAAGATACGTTTGCGACGGGTACTGAAGGCAAGGCTGTACCGCTTACCCACAGGTAAACATCATAGCTGGCGGCATTGCTGGCAGCTGACCAGCTTAATGCAGCCGTAGTACTGGTGGTAACCGATCCGCCATTGGCGGGCAAGAGGTTGGCTGTGCAGCCCGGAACAGGCACTGCAGCGGCTGTTGTAAAGCTTATATCATCAATGGTAAAATCATTGCCGGTGGTAACCGCGGAACGGTTGATAATACCCAGGTCTGCCACGGTAGCCGTGCCCGAATTCCAAGTAAAAATGAACTTTTTCCAGCTGGTATTTCCGGCACCGGTAGCCTGTACAAATCCGCTGGTAAGCGCGGTTCCATTTACAGTGGGTGCCAGTTGTGCGGGGTTATTGCCATTCTGGTTGCCTGTATAAAAACTAAACTCGTAATTGGTGTTCGGCGTAACGGTTACAGGCTGATAGATTTTCCAAACTTCATCTCCGGCCGTAAAAGTACAATTTGTACCTGCTTTTGTATAGTTTACCAGGAAACGGCCGCCCTGAATACCGCTGGCATCCTGTGTAAACATATTGGTACCATTGGTGACGATTCCCCCCATGCAGTTAAAATTGCCCATGCTGTATCCAGGAGCGGAAAAATAGGGTTTATCAAAACTGAAATGTTCAGCATACAAGGTATCTGTTGCGCAGTTTTTGGTGCTTATGAGCACCGGGTTGGGCGTCCAGGCAGACCAAATGCCACCTGCCTCTCTCATAAAACGTACCCTGTAGCGGCCCACCTGCGTTGCGGTGTATTCGTTACCGGTAGCCCCTGCAATCGTAAATCCATTCAGTTGCCACTGGTAGGCGTAATAACCGGCGGTGATACCCATGCGGGCCGCGATTGGCTGCCCGGTGCAGAACTGGCTATTGCCATAATACAGCAGCGGTTGTGCTTTGTGGGCGCTGTTCCAGTAGCCGGTACTGATAAAACTGCCGTTGGCAGCCTGCATATTCCACATATCCGTCCATGTATTGTGTCCGTTATCTGAGAAAAACTGCTGGTAAATATTGCCGCCTGCATTCCGGAAAGCAGCATTAAATGCCTGCACCGCATACGGATCGGGGTTAATGTCAACACCCCCGTTTGCAATCCATACCGGCACATGCACAAAGCCGGGTATACTGCTGTTCAGCGAGCCCACCTGTGCAGGGGAAGATGAAAGCGCGGCCGCCACTCTTTTGGGATACATGCTGCTGTAAGCGACCGCACCGTAACCACCGGAAGAGAGGCCCATGCTGATAATTCTGTCAGGATCGGAATTATTGTATTTCTGAAGGGTATCAAGTATACCATTAATCTTGCTGAAATGGTAATCACTCCAGCCCACGGCAGTTTCCTGGGGAAAAATCAGGAACCCGTTCCATTCGCCATTATTAATACGCTGCTCAAAAAGCTGGGCACCCCACAATAACTGAAACTCATTGTCTGTAGCTGGGCCTATTTCACCACCACCATGAAAAAAAACAATTACCGGGTATTTGGCGGCATTGGCAGGATTGTAATTATTGGGGAAGCGCATGCGGAAAGCAAGGCCGTTCCACATATAGGCTTTAAAATTACCTGTACTCCATGACATCCGGGGCGTTCTAACCCATTTTGCCATTACATTGTTTGACCATGTGGGGTTTGTAACACTGCCCGCCGGATCTGCGGCATTATAGTTTACAACAGCGTCGGTTGCATCAAAAACATTCTGCCCCCGGAGTAAGCAGCATGACAATAACAGCAAAATAAAAACAGCAGTAAAGTTCTTAACCATAGAGTGTGAATTAGCTACAGGTATAATGCAGGTACAAGTAATTTAAAGGACGATCAGCGCAGGCGAAACAAAGGCCAATGATTTTACCAGAGGATGGGATATGCTGCAGCAGGGCTGCATGAGAGGACGGCCTGGCTCCAAATTACTTCATAATAACAACAAACAAAGCAATTACAAAACGAAAACCGTTATTCCTGCCAATACCAGCCGCACTTATTATGCCATTTTTTTTACTCAAATGCCGTCACACTGCTTCGTATTTTTACCATACACTGAAATGATTCGCAACAGTTGTGCGGCCATTTGTGCAGGCATGAGGGCCTGTAAAATAAAAAAAATGCTGTCCCGTAATGGTACAGCATTTTCTGAAGTGTAATAGAACAATTATCGTATTACCAGTTTCAAAGTGGCTGTTTTGTCAACATTACCGGTAATTCTGATTACGTATATCCCCGGAGAAAGGTTGGCCGTACGCAATACCCTGGTATTTGCACCCGGAGCAAAAGACAGTTGCTGGTTTTGTACAGCATTTCCCATAGTATTCACTACCTGCAGATTGGCCATACCGCCGGCATTGCTGTGCAGCTGCAGTACAGCGTTCTGGCCTTTTATAACAGGATTGGGGTATATCCCTGTTTTAGTAATAATCGCAGCAAGCGGCTGAAGACCGGACTGTGCTGTTGCCGGCTGTATTTGTGTTGTTGTTGCAGCTGCTATCCTTGCGCCCGCTGCATTTACCGTAATTATTACCTGGGAATAAGACGGTACGCCATTATTATCTTTTACCTGCAACCCAATTGTGTAGTTGCCTGCCGTGGTAAGACCGGTAATAGTGGGCGTCATGGAGAAGGGATTGCTTATGGTAACCGGAACAGGTGCCCCAATCTGGTACCAGTAAAACTCAGCAATACTGCCATCAGGATCGTAGGAGGCGCTTCCATTCACTACTACAGAATTCACCGGCAGCGTGATCGTTATATTATTTCCTGCATTGGATACCGGTCCTGCATTGCCGCCGCCTGTTGTTACTGCGGTTGTAAAGGTTGTCCTGCTGGTAGTACCACAGGCCGTGTTGGCACCACTGGCATTTCTTGGAGCGATATACCAGCTGTACAAGGTATTGGCGGTAAGGTTGGTTGCATAGTAGGTTAAAGCCGTGGTATTGCTAACCAGCACAGTAGGCACTGCACTGCCCGCAGCCAGGTATACATCGTAAGACACCGCACCCGACGAAGCCGGCCAGTTAAGTCTCGCTGATGTTTGTGAAGGCAAATTTGATCCATTGACCGGCAATGTATTGATGATACAAGCAGGCACGGATGCCGTTGTAAACGTGGTTGTATTAGCACTACAACCAGTAGCCGCACCAACTGCATTTCTGGGTGCAATGTACCAGCTGTACAGGGTACCGGCTGTTAATCCACCTGCATTGTAGGTTAAAGAAGTGGTATTGGTTACCAGTGTTGTTGGTACACCGCCTCCTGCCGACAGGTATACATCGTAAGAGCTGGCATTGGTTGCAGCAGGCCATGTTAACACAGCAGTAGTTTGAGCTGCGATGGTACTGCCGTTGGCAGGCGATGTATTGGTTACACAGGATGGAGCAGTTGTGGGCGCTGCTGTGGTAAACGTGGTTCTGTTTGAAGCGCCACAGGCTGTGTTTGCACCGCCCGCATTTCTTGGTGCAATATACCAGCTGTACAAAGTGCCGGCTGTTAAGCCGCTTGCATTATAAGTTAATGAAGTGGTGTTGGTGACAAGTGTTGCCGGCACACCGCTGCCGGCTGCCAGGTATACATCATATGAGGTGGCCGAAGCTGCCGCCGGCCATGTTAAGCTGGCGGTGTTTTGACCGGCAACGGTACTGCCATTGGCAGGAGATGTATTGATTACACAAGGAGGCAATGCCACGGCTGTAGTAAAGCTGGTGGTGTTTGCTCCACAACCGGTCGCAGCACCCACTGCATTTCTTGGTGCAATGTACCAACTGTACAAGGTACCGGCCGTCAATCCGCTAGCATTGTAGCTTAATGAAGCGGTATTGCTTACCAGTGTTGCTGGTGTACCGGTACCTGCTGCCAGGTATACATCATACGAGGTAGCCGTTGCCACAGCTGGCCATGTAGG